AAGGGGCCATATTAAAAAATCTCAACAACTCCATGGGCCAGAAGAAAAAAAAGTTTATATAGCATTTTAATTAATGTTGTGCTATAACATGAACTGGCAATTGTTTATTCAAATTACACAAAAACGTAAGCAGTAAAATATAGGCACTTGTAGTTGACCTTGAAATATTACATGAGTACTTAATAGTCCAAATTTAAATGTCCCCAATAGCTCAGTCTTTTAAACCTACCTATTTGCTTGAACTAGACACCTGGCATCATTTCTTTGCCGCAAGTGCATTAATACTTTGGCTCAATTTCTGAGCTGCTGAGCTGACGTTAAGTGCTCATACTGGTTGAACTGCAGCTGAAATGCAGCTAGTTTGTTTGGTGATATGACAGGTGTGGAGCTGTGTGTTATTAAGGCGTAAATGCTGTCCTATAGGTTGCTGTTGGGGTTGGAGAGTCAGAGCGCACGTTACGTTGCAGTGCATGCTGGGGATTGTAGTGCAGCGCATTGTGAAACGGGCTAAAATTAATTGAGAATTAAAATACTTTTGCAGGCCGGATAGGATTGTGTGGTGGGCCTGAAATGGCCTGCGGGCCTTGTGTTTGACACATGAGCTCTACAGAGAACACATGTCTGCACATTTTAATGCACAATTGCTGTCAATTTGTTGAACATATTTAACATGCTAGGAAAAAAAAAACAAAATTGCAGAAAAAAGCCATATTTGTTTGTTCACTAAGAATGTGTGTGTGTGACCATGTACACACACACACACATACATACACACACACATACGTACTCAGATGGGGCCCTACATCCTAAAGTATAATACAAAAGCTGTGTGTATGTGTGTTTCTTTTATGATGTGTGAGCACAGAGTGAACTCATTGTTATTTAATTGCTCAGTTATGTGTCTTCTCCTACATTAGCACTAATTGAGTCGAAGCTATTGACTGCTTCGGTGATGAAGAGAACACTTATGTGTGAAAATGACTGCGTCTACCTCCATAATCTCATTGACTTCCTTTATGGTATCACTGCAGCCATGCAACAGCAAATCATCCTGCCAGTGTTGCCTTTTTGAATGAACTCAAGCCGTTTACTAGCGGTGGAAGAATGTAGGCTAATCTCTGGGGGAAGCTGAGTACTGCGTTAGCCGGTTGCTAACCCTGCTGACAGCTGTTTTGAAGCTGGGTGGGTGTGCCCATCTGTGGGCTTCCACTGGATGACACCGGGAGAGATGGGGGGGAAGCGTAGGTGTTTTTTGGCAGCGTGTGCTTTCTTTTGGGATAGCTTTTGGGCTCCAGAGGAGAAAAACTCTCACCAGACACCAGGCCCAGCAGCAACGGGGGGTGAGGGGGGGTGTATTACACACCCGCTGTGCTCTCACCACAATGAGCATTTTTACACCACCATCACACCCATCGGCAAGCGTGTGTGTGTGTGTCTGATTTGCTCATACACACGCTGGCAAAAACAGTCCTTCACTCGCCCCTGTCAATTCTCCTCCCCTCGCCCCACTCCTCCGTTTTTTCCCTCCATCAATTCAGTGACGTTCAGCACTGAGCCGTGACATTACAGAAAAGCAGAGAGGGGGAGAGAGAGAGAGAGAATAGAAGTGAAAGAAAGTGACAGTGACAAAGAGTACAGGGGGAGGGAGACAGTGAACGAGTGAATTAAACTATTGTGTGTTGTGTGTGTGAGATCTCCTGCTTGTCACTCTGACACCGAACATGATGACCAGAGGCCGAGGAACAGTGGACGACCTACACTGACCAATGGCTGTGAAGGAAGGAAGAAAAAGAAAGAAAGAAAAAGACAGAAGACATACGGAAACAAACAGAGCGAGAAACAAAAAGCAAGTGAAACAATGTCAGAGAGAGAGAGAGAGAGAGAGAGGGGCATACAGAGACAAAAAGGGAGATAGAAAGAAGCAGCGAAAAACGAGAGAGTGGAGGGAGGGAGAGAGAGAGACAAAAAGAGGGAGAGAGAAGCAGTGAAAAACAGAAGAAAGTGAATATGAGAGAGAGAGAGAGAGAGAGAGAGGCATACAGATACAAAAAGAGGGAAAGAGAGAAGCAGCAAAAAACAGAAGAGTGAATGAGATAGAGAGAGAGAGAAAGAAATAAAAACAGTGAAAGGGACAGAGTGCGAAAGAGATGAACAAAAGAAATAGAGAGGGAAAGAGGGAGGCAGAGCGAGCGAGAAATAAAAAAAAAGTGAAATGGTCAGAGATAAACGGGGAGAGAGAGAAAGGAAAAAGAAGAAAAAGTGAAGCAGAGAAACAAACAGAAAGATATGCAGACATTGTGTGTGTGTGTGTGTGTGTGTGTGTGTGTGTGTGTGTGAGTGAGTGAGAGAGATTTAAAGCATTTTAAGGTGTTCTAGTTGTTTCAGGGGTGCTCTGGCAGTCTGGTCTCTGAATCTGGCCGCACCAGTACAGCTGAAATAGAGAAATACAGAGAGATACACAGCCGGGAAACAGTAACACAGACAGGTTAGGAAGATAGTAGGTTAGTGCGAAATCGGGCGTTTCTTCACGGTGTGAGTGCACAAGCTGGAAATGAGCGCTGTTTTGTTGAGAGAGTAATGAAGCCCTCTGGTCGTGTTGGACCTGCAGTTTCTCACTTTCTCGCCGCATTATTCTCCTCTTCTTCTCTCCTCTTCTTCTCTTATCGCGCCTCATTAGAGAGCCTCACTCAGAGCGCACTCAACATTACTGCTGGAGCACCAGCGCCGAGAACACCCGGCATTCGTCATTCCGGCGACACGGCCATCTTCGCTCCTCAAGCTGTGTTTAGGTGTAATGAACGACACAAAGACATCACGCGCTTTTCCACGAGTCCTGTGCAAGTATGGGGTCACTGCGCCACCTACTGGGCAGATATCACTCAGACACAGTGCTGAGCAGTTCAGTTAGATGTCGGTGTTTCTTCACTGTTTCAAAGGGAGTTCGGCTCAGTTAATAGCATGGACTGTATCTGTAGAAGCCCTGAGTGTTTTAAGCCAGTAATTATTTCTTATTGCTTTAGAAACTAAAGTCACGTAAAGAGCTGTGACGTCATGACGCAGTGTCTTATGTGTGAGCTGCCATTTTGGCAGGGTTCTGGCTGGTTCTTCTCTTCCTACCTGCTTTCCTTTATTTTAGCTACCTGATCTGCAGCCCATGGACTCACTAAATACTTTGGCTGAGCAGAATGGATGTGGATCCACATGGTTACCAGATCAGTCAATCAAAAAGTGCGTTTATATGCACTTAATCTGATAAAGAAAATCAGATTGTCAGTAATTCGTTCAATGTATTTACATGCACTTGGGTAACCAGATAACGGGGAAACTCCAGGTCTATATGAGTCAGCCAGTAGTCGGTTTTCTGTTTAACTAATCAAACTAACAAAAACATGCCCTACACTGTTGGAAATAAAGGTTCTGTGCAGGTACATTTGTCATTCGTCAAGATACAAACAATGTAACTGTTCCCTCAAAAGGTACAACAGTGGTTTTAAGGTCTAATTGTGAACCTTAAATAAGTTTTTCCCAAGTGAAAAGTACATATTTGTATCTTTTCATAACCTAATGTTTTAAAACAGAATAAAACAAAAAGCCTGGAGATGAGACAGGGTGTGTGGAGCAAATACAACTTAAATATAATTTCAATGGATTACGATACAATTATATCCCCTGACTAAAGGTACTGAGATGTACCCTTGAGGGTACCACCCCAGTGCCAAGAGGGGTACTGCCCCAGTGACAGTTTTGTACCTTTTTTCCTGAGAGTGTAGCTGGTGGACCAGCATAAGGTCTATTTTTGCCTAGTCCAGCAGTATGTCCAGCTGGTCAACCACCATGACTATCAAAGACCAGCTGAGACCATCTGAAGCCAGCTACCAGCAAAAGCCAGTCTTGGCTGTATGAGCCTGCTGGTTAATATGGGTAGAAACAGGCACATAATAATGGTTTTGAAAATGTGTTGTAGGAAAATAAAATATAAATAATAAATAAATACTGCTCAAGTTCTGATGTCTGCCAGTTTACTTTATTTACTTCAGAGGTTTTTCCTTCATTATAATGTCTAATGTGTCCATGATTGTTGGTGTCTATTAAGGTAACTCTGGTCAAATGGAAAAAGGCTACAAGCCTGTAGCATAATTCAGTCTGCAGAAAGCTACAGACACACTGATCGTTACAAAGATGAAGTACACATTTCCTTAATTATTGTTTGCATTTATTTTTGTTTACCTCATTGTGACCATCTGCAAACCAATGTCTTTGTTTAAATAGACCATCCCTCCAGCCATTGAATACAGCAGAAACAAAACGTGTTCTCACCAACTTATTTTTTTCAACAAGAACAATCAACATTCATCAGTCTTCAGGGTAAGACCTGACGCAGTACCTGCACACCTGGCAGAACAAGTTAGCTTGCACTAAATTGTTCAGCCGATAGATACATAAACAAATGAAGTCTCACAGTAATAAGTAAATGAGAATGTGTGTGATGGAGAGAACACAGACAAAACATCTCAAACAGCCAATCAGATTATGGCAGTTTCCAAGCGATTCATGACAGCTGGAATCGATGCAAAATCTGTGGCAGGCAACCCCAACACCACAACCCACCCGAAAAAAAAAAAACACACAACACACTTAATACATAAAAATAAATGAACAAAAACAGTTATACTGCACACAACACAAATAAACCCTAGCAAGAAAATGACTGATCTTGCAAAAATGTGAACACCCCTGGTCAAATGATATATATATATTGATATATATATATATATATATATATATATATATACACACACACACACACACACATACACACACATATAGTGAAAATAAGTGAAGACATCTACAGAGAACACACAAATGCAGCATTTTCTACAAATTTTAGTGCGCAATTTCTATTCATTTGCTGTGTATACAGGGCGCTATAACTTTTACACAGGCCCAGAAATGTTAAATTTAGCAAATAAAAAGTATTTCTGCATTAAAATGTGCAGAATGTGTTCCCTGTAGAGAACATGTTCTCATTTTCCACGTAGAAAATCAACAAAACGTAAGTGTGACCAGAGATGCCCAAACTTTTGCACACAACTGTACATACTACATGTGCTACAAACATTTGGAAGCCTCTTCCTGCTACATAGAGGGGAACAACCCCCCTCCCACCCCGGTCCGTTTATCTGTAAAAACTGATATAGCGTCTTAAAATAATGACTTTTGTTCATGTTGGGTGTCTTGAAATTTAGTGTGTTGAAATAATTAAATAATTTGAATTATTTTCTTGAAATATCGAAGTAATACCTCAAAATAATGCCTAATTTAAGTGTTGGAAATCCATGTCAAAATGAGTTATTCATTTTCAAGAAGGCAAGTAATTATCTCAGGATAAGTCATTATTACAAGAAATTTCATTATTTTGACATAGCAAGTGATTGTCTTCTCAAAATATTGATTCAATGTGTCAATATTTTTGACATACTGGAAACAGAAGGAAGGGGGGGGCGTAGTGAGGGGGACCGCATACACCACTGAGATGACTGTCTGCTCTACCTGGTGGTAAGCGGCCTCCATAGAAAAGTCCTCTGCTGTTGAAGAGTGCTTGTACAAGACCGCTAGTAAAAGAAAAGAGGCATGTCATGTCCTTTACTGCCATCCCAGAACCACTGATACAGATTTCTCAGCACTTGGTACCCCTTGTTGCGTCGAATGTACTCGCAAGAGTGGCAAGCATGTTCTACTGGAAAGGAAGAGGTCTTTGCTTCAAAGTGTTTCCTCCATCTGAAGTACCTGTGATACAGTGCTTCATTTTCATGCAGTAGGTAAAGGTACTTAGCCAGAGCTCTCACAGAGGGAAAGTCTTCCACATGGATAAAAGCATCGCTGGGCACAAGACGCTCGTAGTTCTCCCTGGAAGGGCCAAAGGCTATCGGCACAGCCCCCAGAGCCAGAGCGTTGAACAGTTTTTCGGTGACGTAGTCCTTATCCACAGAGTTCTCAAAGGAGAGGTAAAATTTGCAGCTTGCAATGATCTCCTTGTATTCTTCCACAGAGAGGTGCCGGTCGAAGTAATCCCCATAGACGTGAACCCGGATGTACTTCTGCAGCTCTCTGAAGTAATACACTCTCCTGTGCTCTGGCTTGTAGTTACTAACTATCCAGCACACTATTTTGTTTTTTTCCGGAGGCACAAAATGCTTCAGCTCCTTCTCGAGGGGAACCACCCACCCATAAGGCATGCTAATATCTGCATCTTTACGGTAACTCAGCGAAACGTTAAACAGCCCATCTAGGCTGGGGATTTGGGCCGTGTTGGACGGCGACTCAGAATTCATCCAGATCCACTTCTGGTGAGGTGGCCGAGGAGATTTGGGTAAATTGGACAAATCCCAAACGATGTCCCTGTGGTGGATGAGAACAGCGTCAGCTTTACCGTACAGTGTCCGATCCGCTGTTAGCAGGCAGCCCTCTATGTTGAACTGGGATTTGCAGATGTCAAGCTTAAAGGTGGTGTTAAAAGGCCAGAGCCAGACTAGCACTACAACATGGAGGGGTTCTTGGTGGACAGGTTCAAGTTGCTGGGTCAGGCAGCGAAATGAAGGGGTGTAGTACATAGAACCTGTTAGCAGGACAGCTACTAACAGAATAGCATAGCGCAGCAGACGTAGAACGTTACGGCCTGGTTCAGACGCCATCACTGGGCCTGCAAACAGAAATGAAGAAGCGGTCATTTGTAGTAGCCAGAAATACAAAAAAGGTACCTTTCCAGGTCATTGAAATGACTGATGTAGCAAGCTTGACAGTGTTTACAGATACTAGCATGTATGGTACACTGTCAGTATACATGTGCTAGAGTCATTAAAGGGCCCATATCATGGAAAACTGAATTTCCCTTGCTTTTTTGACTACCGTGTAAAATTTTTTAAAATTTCAAACCTGTTTACTGTCCTGTTCATAGTATCTATACCACGTGTCCTTGCAGGTCAAAACACTGCACACGTCAGCCCGCTGCCTCAATAAACATTTACATTTACATCATTTAGCAGACGCTCTTATCCAGAGCGACTTACAAAAGGTGCTTTGTCTCTCCAGAGAAAGAATCTTCGCTAGCTACCAATAGGTTAGAACACACCTGATTCAGTTCATCAGCTAATTAGCAAGGCCTTCATGAACAGAGTGTTAGAGCAGGGTAAACGCTGATCTCCACAGCACTTTGGCCCAAAAGGTCCCCAGTTTGACATGCCTGGTCTATACACTGCAAAAAGATATCTTAGCATGTGAAAACATGTTAAATGTAGTAAATATTTGTAAGATTATTAAACCCATTTTTACTTGTTTTAAGTAATTTATTCTACTGAAAGTGTCCAATTCCATTAGCAGTTAATTTAACTTCATCTTCAAGAAATAATGCTTTACAACTAAAATTGTCTACCAATGGAACAAGACAGTTTAATGAGATACAGTGAATAAAGACAGGTCTAAAAATAAGTTAAACAATCTTAATATTGTTACAACAAACCTATAACGAGAAATTAGATATGCTGAGTAGATGCAAGACGTATTTATTTGCCAAGATAGCTTTTTCGCAGTGTATATGGACACTAAGCTGCAAAAACAGCCTCCTTTGAATGCATGTTTGTGACATCACAAAAGCAAATACATTTCCATGCAGCATTGTGCAAAAGCCTTAGACAACTTTTTAGGTACATTTCTAAAACTATATAATTTCAGCAGTAAGTGTTGTTGCCAGTGAGTGCTCTATAAATAAGAATAAATCCAAACAAACACAGTTAAAAGTAATGAGAATTTCATGTTTTTTTTTAAAAAAAAAAAAAGGCTTTTTTACTTTCCATTATCAGCAGACCTGATCTAATTTAATCAAGTTTTGATTAGCCAAACCAGGTACTGGATGATAACTACAAATACTGGGCAGCTCAAATGATACAGCTTTTTAAATATATAATCTCAGGTGCCTAAAACTTTTGCACAGTACTGTAGCCCTCTATTCAGCCTACAGTGGTTTAGCCCCATGTACACTAAAGTTCTAGGAAGCACTACAGTCTGCATTACTTTTTGAATAAGGAGCAATAAAGGGCATCCAATCAGACCAGACATTATACACATCTATTTTAAAGGGGAATTTTACTTGTTTAATCTGTATAAATCTGTGTAATGAAATGGTTAAGAGTGATTCATGGTGGATCCACGTGAAACGCTATGTTCTAGAGAAACTTACCTAGTCAGAATTTTCCACAGTGGTGGTGATAGGAACCAGACATCTGATTCCAGACAACCAGACAAGTTCAAAGCCTGTAAAATCTACCTTAAAAAAAAAGCTATTGCATGAATTGGTTCTAAAATGCTCAATGCACGAGACATTGCCTTATGACCGTTTTAAGATATGAATTTGGCCTAAAAATTTATTTTTAAAAGCCATTTAGGCTGGAGATGTACATGCAGGCAGTTATGAGGCAAAATACAAGCCAAAGATGACTTTTTTCCCCTAATTCACCACTATTTTACCATTATCAGCATTGCAAACAAAACCCAGATGTGTGGATTCACTGCTTATTTTGGACAGTAAATAAAATGGCTATATTTTTCTTGTAGACCTCTTGCTGGTCACCATCACCACCACTGTAAAGAAATTTGAGTCAGTAAGTTAACAATGAAGCTTTTCACATCAAACTATGAATGACTTTACATTAACCATTTAATAATGCAGATATTTCATAGGAAAGAAAGAAAAATGAGAGCTCAAACAATGGCCATGCAGAAATTAACTAAACTGTTTGGTACATAAAAACATACAAATGTTACAAGTGGACCTCAGGGGGAAAAAAGGAAATACAAAATAAATAAATAAAATGTAGGACGTGGGCCCTTTAAAGTGTTGAGGCTCAGCACTTTAATAATCCAGGCGTTTACTCTTTAACCCTCAGGCTCACATGAATGCGTTTCAATAAAACAAATCATGTGATGTACTGGTTAACAACTCATTGGCCCCAAACCTTACGTGACTTCTCAAAAAGGTAAGTTTGTTATTAAATGGGATATTTAAGATATGATGCTGGCATTATTCAGAGGAGAGGATTCGTGTCTGACTCACATTTATGGCAGCATGTTTATCCTTAATATTTAGCCTTATGGTACTACTACTAGCCACAAAAAAAACCAAAAAAAAAACCACACAACTGTTGTTAAAGGGTATACTGCAGTCTTTTTCTACCTAATCACAGACAATAATGTAGACATGTTCTCCTATGCTTCGATCAATATTTTTGTTTACAGGAAAACTCCTTTAATAAGGACTGTCCATATGGATTTGTATCACTGATCTTTAGAATAATATAGAACTGAAGTCACTTAAGTACTCAAGGAGTCTGGCAAGATCCCAGAGAGCAAATTTAAAATGTTTTCTGTGACATGGGCCTTTTACGCTCACTTCTCCTTTAATATGACTTGAAATGTTGTGTCAATGATACATGTTAAAATTTCAAAGCATACTGTCCACATATTGAAACAAATGGCAAAAGCAGCCCCATTTTGAAATGTTTTCAATTCAATTTGTGACGTCACAAAAAACCATCACATTTACATATATCCACCTATTCAACCTACTGCAGTTTAGCCACACCCACTCACACTAAAGTTATAATAAGATTCAGCCAGGACTGCTTTTTGCATGAGGTGCAAAACAGCGTAGCCAATCAGAACAGAGCTCATTTACATATATCTGTCTTAAAAGAAACAAAACAGCCTCTTTAATATTAAGACAAAGAAAAGTTGGAAATGTATTTTTACATGACCATTTAGGACCGTTTTTGGTTCACAAAAACCACAAATGCCATAAGTAGATCTCAAATAACAGATGTAGGATATGGACCTTTTAAAGCTAAAAACTGAGAAGTAATAAGCAAAAATCAGAGAAATTAACTATATATTTGAGTAAACAACTTTTCATATAAAAATTAGCCCATGTGTTGCTCCTTACTATGAGCAGGGCAGGTAAATATTACAACAGAAATCAAATACATTGTGTTACACCACAGTAATTCTCTCCAAAGGATATTACTTCAGAAAACAGTATAAATACATCATAAACACTCAGGATCATTGCAGATCATTTGGTTTTTTTTTTTTAAAAAAGCAGTTTTTGCAATGACCCAAGTGCTTTAAATTTGGACCCAGTGTCACAAAATCACAACCACTGCACACGCTCATTGTACTCCATTACCACAGCATAAAAACCCTGGTTGAGACCGTATGTTTTGCCAGAAAATGGCCATAAGTTTTACCAAACTTATTCCACTGAAAATGGACAGTCTACTTACCTTTTTGACCTTATGTTTCATCATGTAACTCCAGACTCCTGTTGTAATCATACATTATGCCAAAAAAAAAAGTGAAATCTGAATAAAGTAACATCTGCTGCAAAACCGCTGACTTACCTTCGTTGCCTTCCCCCACGAAAACATTAACTAGTGGAGAGGTCTTCTGCTGACCTGTCCACAATTCCACACCCATAAACACAAGCCCATATACTGCAACTGCATGACAGCAGATGCTTTGTACACCAGACACCTGCCCTCTGTGTCTGAACGCTGCGCACCCTCACTGGCCAACAACAGGAAATGAAGCAGAGTAAGCCGTCAGTGTGTTTAATTACACCACTCCTGGGACCACTTGGATCATAATTGTGGTTCTCGACTGATTAGCATACTGCAGAACGTCTACTTGAAAAATCACAACTCAATCACAAATGTCACAGTCATAATCAGGATAAGCTGTGGAAATGGGATGGAAAGGACATCTCAAATACTGTAATTAAATATCACTAGATACCCTCCGGGAGCACTTCGCTGAAGTCGATAATAATTTTGTAATGATTCTTAAATACAATGTCAGCGTCAGATTGTGAAAAGCTTATCGCAACAAGGCCCTGGGTTTGGTTGAGGTGAGGTGAGTGCAAAGATCAGGCTCTAGGACAAGATAGCTTATCATCTGCATGTCATTACAAAGCTGTGCTATGGAATTGAAATTGAAATACAGTTCACAGCTTGGCAAAAAAGGGATCCTGCTGGTCTCTCAGAGAAATATAGTAATATGCAGTTAATCATTGGCCAAGCCAGAATCAAATCAGACAGATTAGCTCTCAGAAGCTAACAAGCTCATGTAGAAGTTGTAAAACAGTGCTATTCCAAAAGGCTATGATGGAGGTTAAATTATTAGAAGCAGCAAAACTGAGTCATGCTCATGGCTTCTCACAGTAAATGCAGTAAATCATTAGCACAATCAAATCCTGCATTTTGCATCGCCACATGTAGGCTACATGTCTCTTTGTAGTTTGCATGAAGAACAGAGCTAGTATTACTTAAATACATCCACTTACAACTGTACTTTTGTTTGATCTGTGCCTGAAGTCAATGCTATCTCCACTCTCTTAGATAAGCTGCAAGGTCCTAAATATATTATTCAAATACAGAGGATTATAGATCAGTTCAGTTTCAGTGGGGGCAACCAAAAGAGCACGCTTTGTAAGGATGTTTGATAAGCTAGGTGACAATTTCTTGGTCATAGGGACATATTTTCTCAGTTTACATTATATATTCTTACACACACACACACACACACACACAAAATTGTGGGTTTTTGGTCGTCTTATGGTCTCGTCTCAGTTTTCTATAGCTTTGTTGATGTACGTGTCCATTGATAAAATATTCATTTGTTTATTACATTATTTCAAGGAACAGCAACTATACATTCAAGTTATATTCCACAATCCTCTTATCAAAAATAACATGAAAAGAAAAAAACCTGAATAATAAATAGGAAATTACATCAGAAGAAAAGCGTCACCTGTCCCAAAACCCTTCATAGTGTGGGTTTTCTTAACAGGGTTGCACAGACAGGATGGTGTAGGAGAGAGTGGGAGTAGCATGGACTTTTGTATAATTAAACAGATTCAAGTAGAAAATGCTTTGTGATCTTATAGTCCCATAGCAACATAATCTGAAAATTCATAAATCAATTATTTCTGCATATTTACCTGAAGACAAAAGGTAGATGTTAAAGGCACAGTTTTTCAATCCATTTAATTCCTTTTTGGTGACTGTAATGTAGTAGTGTTTTGAAACAATCTCTCTCAGTGAGAGCTAACCAGGCTAAAGTACAGCCCCCCCTCACAGCAGGGTTGGTTTAACAACTCATTAACACTAAATTAAAGATTATATAAACCACCCAAGGGGAACGAACGAACAAACAACCCACACACACACCCCATGTCATGTCATGTCACTTTAAGGAAACATTAAGGATATTCGTGCAATATTACTGGGACTTTTATTATGACACGTGACTACTACAACTCAACCATAACAATTTGTTCGACAGTAACGTGTGAAGAGTCCTGCTGGGCATTTCGGACATTTCCTCAGATACCAGAATAGCTCGGATTCTTCCGGAAACAAAAGCTGCAGGCCTGGTTCCCGGTGTGTGACGAGTCTGCTGTCCGGTATGGAGGCTCTGCTGAAGCGGGAGTTAGGCACCTCCACTCTGAAAGCCGCCGGACACGCGGGGGGAGGCTGCATCAGCGACGGCCTCAGCTACGACACTGACTCGGGCAGAGTGTTCGTCAAGATAAACCATAAGAGCCAGGTGCTTACCGCGACACATTCACTGCTAAATAACTAAGGCGGATACATGCAGTGACTGGCAGACAGTTGTGCTTTTGGACACCTGCTCTGCACATTTCACTGTTATTCCTGCTCCAGCACACCCGCTTCAGCTCAGGGAGGGTCTGTTAAAATCAGGCGATTAGCTGGATCAGGAGTGCTGGGAGCAGGGAAGAGACTAAATATGCAGGGCAGAGCTAGTCCAGCATCAGGATTGGGTTCTCTGTTGTTCCAAAAGGCCTCATCCAGCTGATAGGATTAAATGAATGCTGTGCCTACAGGATGGGTAAAATAGTTACAGCTGTAGGGTGGATTCTGATACATCTCCCACAGTATGAAAGAAAGATGAAGCCATTCTTTTTGTCTGTTTTCCACGAAAAAAATAAGGTCTGTAATTGAATATGACTGCTTACATTCACATCCAACACTAGGGTTGGGAACCAGTGCTCATGTTGCTCCAGGTTGGAGGCAAATAGGGTATGTAAACATTTGCAGAGCACAATAGGATGAATTCAGATATAGTGGGACAGCATGTATAACAAAGTGTGTTGGGTGTAATAAGTCATGCGTGTTATAGACCAGTGTTTTGCAACCCTGGTCCAGGAGGCCCACTGCCCTGCCCTATTTTCCCTGCTGTCAACACACCTAATCCAACTAATCAGCTCATTAACAGCCCATTGTTAAATTGAAGTTAGTATGTTGAACTAGGAAAAGCACTAACATGTGCAGGGCAGTGGGCTTCCACGACCAGGTTTGAAAAAATATATATATATACATACATATATACACACACACACACACACACCTTTATTTTTTCAGTTTTCACAATAAAATTAGCTATATTTTACAGCTTAAAATCATCATGTGCAGTAGATACAGTTAAAAAAAACCCAAGTCAATGGCAGGTAAAATTGGAATAAACAAGGTTTGTTTGTGTCCCACTTTACCTGATGGCTTATCTGGATTCACCCTTGTATCCTGAATGCACAACATGTGTGTAGATTTTTGTTAGGTACATTTTGAAATGTCCAGAGAATGCTATTCTACTGACAGGACAGGTAGAGCTTATTAGAAGACTGTAGAATGTCCCTTGGACTTCTGCTGTATGCAAAAGTTTGGCCACCCCGGTCAGACTACATTTGTTGTTGATTTTGTGAGGTGAAAGTAAGGACATCCTCTACAGAGAACACACTTTTGCACATCTTAATGCAATAGAATTACTTTTTTGCTGAATTTAACATATTGGAAAAACCAAAAGATATTGTAGCCTGGGCAAAAGTTATGCCACATTATTATATAATATTTTAATACTTATATTAAATAAAGTTTGACCTGGGGTTTTTAAAAATTTTGCATACAACTAGATGTGCATATGTGCACTAAATTGTGTCCCCTGTTCCAACACCTAGGCCAGAAAGATGTTTGATGGAGAGAAAGCGAGCTTGGAAGCCATCTTGGCTACAAATACAGTTAAAGTCCCAAGACCAGTGAAGGTTGTTGATCTGGAAGGAGGTGGAGCTGTGTTCATTATGGAGCACATAGACATGAGATCCCTGAATAGGTAGGTGCTCTGCACCATCACATGCCCCAAGCTCACATAATGTTACAAGGAAAAAGAAATACTAATCATAATTAAAAATATTCAAAGATGGAGTCAAGCTGTTTAGTATAGGCTTCATTGCTTAAGGCCTAGGCACATTGCACAGAGGTGCCTTAAAAAGTCAAGGGTTTTAATCCTTGCTAATGGCTGCTGAGTAAAATGCTTCACCCCAAGTTGCTCAAAAGGTTGTCATTCGCTTGGCTTAATAGCTGCTATGAATCTCTTTGGGCAAAAGCAAGTAAATAATTTTCTGTATACTGTCCATAAAGGTACTCTGCTCGTTTGGGGGAGCAGCTAGCTGACCTGCACCTACATAATAAAAGACAGAAAGAGAAACAGAACAAGGCTGAGCAGACTGTTGGTAAGAGACCACAATAATGCACTGTTCCATAAACGACTTCAAGGACCAGTGGTAATGTTAGAGAACTGTTCTCAAAGTCCAGACTAGAGGGAAACATCACACTGTTCTGTAGGAAATACATGCCTGTCAATTAATACATAATCACCTGATCTGAACTGTCATCTTCACAAATCACAACAATCACGTTTGTTGCAGCAAACAGAAAGTAAATTGGCCACATTTCCATCAGTTGAGTTCAGTGTAATTTATAAAAAAAAGGCTGTAATTGTGTGCCATAAGTGAACAGAAGGAAGACAGTTTTAATGTTTAAAATCATTTAAAAAATAAATGTGACATTTAGAAAGTAAGAATAAGAGAAACACTGACAATTTTTAAAGCTTTTATGTTGCAAAATGTCCTTATTATGCCATGTTTTGTTTTAATTGGGCTGATCATTATGTAATTTGACAGTACATCCAATTTAGCAGAAGCTTAGCAGGGCATAAGGTGGACTCCCGTTTGTTTTGACAGGGCAGTCAGGTTTCATTTACTGTGCAGCTGCATGTTAAACCCCTGAAGTTACCAGTTTAGCCAAACTGGTATTAGGTGAAGACTAAACTACTGCTAAACTAATGACAGAGCAATAGCATCATTGGATTTGGAAAAAAAAAAAAAAGAAAAAACACACACAACAAAAGTTCTAACTACTGTCTTGGTCCTATAGTACATCTACAGAGCAGCAGTGAATAAAGTTTGTTTACTTGAGCTGATTGTCATCACTTTGGAGCTACCAAGTATTGACAGCTAGGAAGCAAGACAGGAAGCAAATCAGCTAAATTTAGCCCCTTTAGGCATGTAATTGTTGGATACATTTTTTTTTCCCTATGGCAATTGATTGTAAGCTAAAATGTATGTGCCCCCAATCTTACCTTGCAGATGATACTATAGTAATTAGTATGATTACCATTGGAATATTACAGTTGAGAAAATCAACACTAGATAAATTGCATTTGTTAAGGATTTTAATGTTAGAAACACTTTATATAGGCATCAATGACAGTACAGTTTGTAGGCTGTGAACATAAAGGTTTACTGTGTAGAGGTGGAAACTGAAGAAGTTCCATTGGTATGACAAGTGATGGTGTGAGGAAACAGAAGCCATGTCACCCCCTTTACTTCCTGTAGGGTACTACAGTCTGTCACAGTGACCATGTGCATCATAAGAACAGTATAGAGCGCTTTTGTTTAAGTAAACCGTGTGTAGACTTTGTTCCACAGACATCAATGACTGACTTTGTTGACTAATTGGTGCAGCTCTAATGTTGAGGGTCAGAGAACCTGGCAAAACTGTAGTAGTCATTTAATACTGGACTTTGAGAACCAAGCATTAGAGATTTTTAGATGTTCTAAAACTTCTTGTCAGGGAGTTCATTTTCTGGTGTGAACTAATGAAAACTAAACATGAAAACCCTTTTAATTTTTTCATGTTTACTTAAGGAAAAATATCAAGAAACACCTAGAAAATACTGATATGTGCAGTACAAGTGGAGGAAATGCTGGTTTAATGTAACAGCATTACCGTTTTGCAGGAAAAGGCCAAAGTGACATTCCTGTCATTGACAAGTTTGGGTTCCATACAGAAACATGCTGCGGCTACTTGCCTCAGGTAACAGCTGTAGTCTAGCCAATACGAGATTAAAGATAAAACATTGGTCAGGTAAACCCATCTCTGATTACGATCAGTGTTTTGATGCTTCCCTTGCCTTCATCTCTGCAGGTGAATGATTGGCAGGCTGACTGGGTGTCATTTTATACCCAGCAAAGACTTCAGCACCAGCTTGGCTTAGTGGAGCAGTCTTATGGGGACAGAGAAGTCAGGGAATTGTGGGCCAGCCTCCAGGTAGTGCAACTACAGTCAGTCCATTATTAAAAACAGCAAAAAGTGATTCACATGAGCATAAAGCAATGTTTAGCCAATGAAAATCCAATAACGTGAATACTGACCGTTTTCAGCATTAATAACATGACTGGTATGGACTGGTTTTGTCTGTTAAACCCTGAATGTGCTCACTGTTGTAATGACACCAGATCCCTCTAACCCTTTCTAATCCTTCAATGCTTTTCATGATCTGTTCAGCTGAAGATCCCTCAACTGTTTGCTGGTATAGAGGTGGAGCCAGCGCTGCTTCATGGGGACCTGTGGAGCGGTAACGTGGCCGAGTGCTCGGACGGCCCAATCATCTTTGACCCTTCTTCATTTTACGGCCATTCAGAATTTGAGCTAGCTATTGCAGGAATGTTCGGCGGCTTCGGTAAACACTTTTACAATGCCTACCATGAGAAGATCCCAAAGGCCCCGGGGTTTGAAAAGAGGCTACAGCTGTACCAGCTCTTCCACTACCTTAACCACTGGAATCACTTTGGCAGCAGTTACAGGGGCTCCTCACTACGGATCATGAAAGATCTTTCCAAGTAGACGCGACTTGATTTCCAGTACTGATAGTCAGTTTTGTTGCTATTGATTCTGCTTGCTCTTCTAACTTCTGAATGCTATAGAATTTTTTTTGCTAAATATCTAGCAATAACATTTAGTTTGTCATTGATCGTCTTTAATTGACATTTGTCTTTTTTCCATTTTTAATTAAACAGGGTAACACTGGTTAGTTTAAAGACACTTTAGTTCATGTACTGATTTGATCTTCAAGGAATAAGATGCCGTGTTAACATACAGTAACATTTACTTTCATGATTTTTGGGGCTACATGCTAGATCATACACAATAGTTTTGTAAAGCCAAGCTGACATCAAATCACAACTGCTTTGCTAAAAACATTTACAGGTAAAGGATTATAGGATTTTTAAATTTAAATTTATATACAGTACTGTGCAAAAGTTTTAGGTGTTCTGATTCCCATCAGGCAAAGGGGGAAGAAAAGGGTTAAAAAAATTAAATTACTACATTAACAAAACATAATTCCTTGTTCTTTTTCCTGGCAGCAGTATCTCAAACTTACTTGGTATCTCAGACCCCCCCCCAGTATATTGGCTTACTATGCTAAAATCATGATTTTTCTTAAATTTGTAATTTCTGTGCTGAAATAACTTCTCTATTTTCCTTCCTTTTACTTAATTTAAAATAATGACTTGCCCCCAAAAAATTACTTACTTTTTTTGAAATTTAATACATCATTCTAACATAGTAGGCTAATTTACTCACTCAAAAAAGTGAAATTATGAAAATTACTACAACAATGCCAGTTAAAATTGAGGAAAAAAAGTTATTATTTTGAGATACCAAGTCAATTTTTATATGCTGCTGTCTGGAAGGAGGAAACCAAAAAAAAAGTCAGAACACTGACCATAATACATTTAAAAAAAAAAAATGAATGGTCAATGTCAGTTAAAGTATGTTAATTGACTTTTTTTGTAATTATACTCAAGTTTTCCCAGGCAATAACACTACTGACTACATACTTTTAAACAATGTTCATTGCTGCCAAAAACCTTTACACAGTACTGTAGCTTTAAGAAAAATCAGTTAAATGAAAGGACCTGAATTTACAGATTGAATGTCAAAACTACATTCCACTGACATACTGGCATTCTGTTACACAGCTGAACTCTCTACAGAACTTAACATAAACTAAATGGTTGAACTTGTGCATCAGCATCGCTGCATGTGTTAGTAAAGCACCTGTCTTGCATACTGTGTTGTGAAATCAAACCAGTCACTGAATAATTCAGAATACTTGCGCAGTTTCTTGATGGAATGCAGTTGCTCTCTTAACAGACAAGTCTTAACATCAGAGTGGACTTATGTATGTGTACATGACTAAATAAAGAACTCTGAAATCTGTCTCCATTTGCATTGGGTTACCACACAGTTTTGAGAGAAGATTGATATAAAATGTATGATCCATTCATGCAGGATGCTTTAGGATAAAACAATGCATAAAGAAATTACTAAATTATTTACCACTATTTAATCCCCATCAACATTACATAAGCACTCCGAAGTCACATGTAGGTTCCCTGGTCATTTTGAATAGTAAATAAAATAGCTATACTTGCATTGCAGACAAGGCAGCCTCTGGTTCCTATCAACAACATTGCAAACAAAATCTGGATGAGTAAGCTTCTGTACAAAGAACAATTTAACATTAAACCAATCTGAATTACTTTGCATTTCCCTGCTTAAATTTTGCAGACAGTTTGAAAAAAATCGGAGGAATTTCCCTTCAACCGTAAACGTTGAATATAAGGTTTTACAGTAGGCAGCAGCGACACTGATGATGGAGAAAAGCGAAACGCCTTTTCCTCAGCGCCCACTGTCTGAACCCTCCGGCTTTCCGTAAGAAAGCATGGAGGGCGCATCATCCTGCGTCTCATCGCCTGTTATCATTTAAGATACAGCTAAAAAAGGAAAACGCATGAAACGTGAAGGAAGAAGATAGAAAGTAAACTCAGAACGAGTAGGTCTCGTAGACAAACTGAAAAACAGCTGCAGTAAAAGTCGGTTTTAGAAGTTTAAAGAGTTGAGAGACGCTCGTCAGACCCTGTTGTGTTATTGTAGAATAGCAGCTTTAAGGTTGGACTTTAAATCATTTACTTTGTGGACTTTGTCTACAAAAACAGCACCGGCTACATCTGCGTTTTCCACCCGACCTTCTTTCAGAGCAGTGAGTCAAACCATCCGTCTGAAAATGTGGCAAATAGCCGAAGAGCTAGGTTATGGGTTAGCTGTTAGCTAACTCCTGTCTCTGCACTGTCACGAGCCTGAAGTCAGTTTCTTATTCGAATTTTTACGTTCCACCTTAAAACTGTGTCTCAGCGTTACCGCATATGTTAGAGGTTTGGAGTGTAACTGCTCCATTTAAGGTGGAACGGGAAAATTCAGCCAAGAAGCTGGTGAGCAGAAAATTGACTTCAGCCTAATCCCTCTCTTTTGGTTTTGGTCACTACACCCCACAAACGTTGGTTGCCGGTGGGTAGTACAGTGCTTTACGGCTCTTCTATGAATGTTTATGTTCCAGGTGTTGCAGTAATGTGACACATCGACGTTTTTACAGCGTTTTTTGACTTGAATTCAGAAATGCAGAGGGGAAACGATTTGCATCGACGAGGTTTGGTCAGTCAGCTATAACAGCTAACTGTAGCATCAGATATTTCCTCAATAATAGTAATAATAATAAAAAAATGTATTTTATTATTATTATTATTATTATTATTATTATTATTATTATTGAGAGATATCTAGTTTGAGGATTGAAATGATCCAGTACCAACATGTAGATCTGTAAAATGCTGTCAGTCAGCTCCACTCTCTCTGTGGATGAACATAAACCCATGTTCTCCAGTAAAGGGATGAGACCATGGGTTAAGGGGATGAGCTCCAATATAGGCACTTAAGATTAAATGTGATATTCAGTGGCAATTGCTTCAACCCAGACCTCACCTTCAGCTTCATGGTGGTTAAATCTGTTATAGGGTCTAAGGGAGAGTGTGGTATGGTTTTGTAGTAGGTGCCATACTATTAAACCATGGTAGTCATTGCACACTGAGCACACTTACCTTTTGTTTTCACAGAGAACCAATGGCACCAGCAGGTGAGGTAGATGTTAATGGAGACGAAGGAGAAGCAGATGTCATTGCAAACGGAAGCCTACTGGCCGGGTTCAGCGAAAGCGCAGAGATCAAGTCCCTTCTCGCTAGCCTGCCGGACCTGCATGAGGACAGTGTGAGCAGGGAGACTGGAACAGAGAGGTTTCTGGGTGAGGAGGAGGTTTCTGGATTTATCACAGTGCTCATCAGCCCTCCTCATGGAGATCTGTTCCTTCAACCTCAATCTCACACACCTGACCCAGCTAATCAAGGACTGAAGACAATCTGGAGCTGGATCAGGTGTAGTGGATGAGGGTTGGAGCTACCTTCAGTGGTGTGACCTTCAGTCCAGATCTTATTTTGATCAGAGACTAGTATGGTTGTTCCACTCCTGGGTGCACAGATTCATCACAGTTTGGTTATTTCCCTACTCAAACACACTTGCTTCAACATATCAGTTAATTATCAGGCTTAATAGGTGTATTAGTGCAGGTAAAATCACCAAACTGTGTTGGACTCCAGGACTCGAGTGGGGCTCCCTTGGTTTAGAAACGTGTTTCTCAACCCAGTTTTCCACACGTACCAGATTGTCCACATTTTCACTCCAACCTAAAGTAAAGTGCAAATAATAGAGATCAAAACAGCCATAAAGTACATGTTATTCATTTTTCAGGAGATATTTCTGAGAAGATCTGATATAAGATAATCCACTAGCACACCTAGGGACATAATAAAAAACTGTTTCTAAAACTGGAATTCAAAAGTTATTAAAAGAAAGCAAGCAATCCCTGCTGTTTCTTTCATCTAGCACGAAACCTGGTTCAACTAATTAACAATGAGCTATTTACTAAATATTTATGCACTGGCTCATACGTGTCAAGCATGGGGTCACCTGGTCTAGGATCGGGGATTCCTGATGTAGGAATAATGTCTGTCAAGCTGTCAAGAAGCTATTACGGAGAAAAGGAAACAGACCAAAAAGAAGAACGTGCAAATCAAACAAAGAAGCTGCTGTGGTTCTTAGAGCAATGCAGAGTCCAGACCTCAACATCACTGAATGTTTTTGTGGTGACTGATTGTGAGAAGCAGAAAATACAACCAGCATTGAAGACTGAACTTTGGAGGTGTGGAAAAATATCTCTGCAAATTTCTGTGAAAAGCTGAAAGCAAGTCTGTTGAAAAGAATGTAAGCAGTAATAAAGCCAAAGAGTGGACGCACAAGTACTAAAAACGGTATTAGATTTAATCGTTGAGGCTTCTGTGTAATTTTCTGTTGCTTAAATATTTTCTGTTTTTTCCCTGATGCTGAAAAATAAATAACTTGTACTTAATGTCCATTTTGACTGGAAATTAAATAAGTGATGGGTGGTCTCTGACTTTTGTGCAGTACTGTAGCTCTGAGCGTTCCTGAATGCTCAGTTAAGAACCCTGAATACGTGGTTCATATATACTGTGAGCTAGATTAGGGCAAAAATATGGACTCTTCCAAGGACTTTGATAGAGCAATTGGCGTGGAGAGTACTTATTAATGAGTGAAGATGCTCCAAACTATGTCTCTGATTTAAGGTTTGATTTAAGTCTGCTAAGTGAAAACTGAAAGAACTGTTTTATGCTTCACTACAGTTATAATGGACCGCTATCAGGAGCAGCCACATCTTCTGGACCCTCACCTAGGTAAGGAGCTCTTGTTCATCAAACACAAATGTGGTATGTTAGTGGTATGTCATGCTCTGTGATGACATGTGGATAATTCTAATGTGTTTCTCAGAATGGATGCTGAACATGCTGTTGAAACTCATCCGGGATGAGAAATCTCCCCCTCTGCTTGTTCATTTAGGCTTTAAATTTCTCTACATCATCTCAAAGGCGAGAATGTTTTTAATATCACTGAGCCACATTAAAGTACTCTTATGCAGTATGCATATCTTGCAGGTTTCTAACCTTCCTCATATGTGTTTTTTCCAGGTCAGAGGCTACAAGACCTTCATGCAGCTTTTCCCACATGAGGTGGCAGATGTGCAGCCAGTTCTGGATCTGTTGTGCAGGCAGGATCCAAAGGACACAGAGGTGAGATACCACTAAGGCTTGTCCAGATAATTCAACTATTTGGGTATTTGTTTGTTACGTTGGTATTTGTCCCTGTATTTAGTATTCGGAAGCTTCGGCTTCGACTTTTATTACGAATCTCGCAAATGCTCATTGAGGGACGTTGTCCTTAAACAGCTGGACTATTTGCTCATGCATTTTTTTGGCAAAGTGATGAGTCCCGACCCATCCTTAGTCATCAAGGACCTTTGCTCGATATTCGTTTTATACCCAAGCATGATTACATCACCTCTTGCAAAGTGTTTTATAAGCAGTTTCTGAACATATTTTCCAATGTGCATGTTTCCCAAACACTTCACATTTTTAAGAGTTATTTTACGAACAAGTTTTCAAGTGCTTATTCATTAATGTCAACGAATACTGGAAGCCTGTGAATTGCTGTTAGGGCCAGTTCTAGGCACCATTGATACAGTCAGAGA